CTGAACCAATCTGCTCTTGACACTGTCCTCTAAATCAGCCCCTATCTTGACCTCTTTTCTGTTTTCTTCAGTTCCCAGATTCACAACTTCGACTGGCTCTTCATGTGGCTGTATAGCTTTCTCTTCTTGTTGTAATAACCTAGCAAGCTCTACAGGTATTTCACAATCGTCCTCGTTTCCGTCTTCAGTTTGATAGATCGGATTCTCGAAATTGTAATTGGCAATAGTAGAACTGTTATCAACTGGATCCAGAGTGGATGAGGATCTGCATTTTAGTGACGTGGGTGTGTGTAAGAACACATAGCTGATAAAGCAAAAATAAAAGAAAAAGAAAGACAAGGACACAATATTTACGAAAACGAAACGTCCACTGATTTTATTGAATGAAGTATGCAAATGAAATGATGACCCGTAACAAGCACACCATTGTGCCCCGGGTAAGGCACATGGCTTGAAAGTTTTAATTGTTCCAGAAATTACAAATTTAAAAACATAACACAGTAATAGTATTTACTCCCGACTAAAGGAGATAGGGATAACATCTTCAGCTTTCCAATTATTGAGTCCAGCACCCACAGTAGGAAAAATCCATGCCTCCAAGTTGTGGTCTTCATCTTGATCTCCCACAGCATTGATAACCCCTTGATTAGTGATACGAACAGCACGAGCACGACGAACAGCCTTCTGGGACTCTGCAGTGAAACCCAAACCAAACTTGTCAGACTTGTATGGAATATCAGGAAGCTGACCCCAAATAGTACAACCACCTTCTTCCACCACAGCTTTTGCATCATTGAGGGAGGCCATTGCCATTGTTGGAGGGTTTCTGATGACCACAGGAACCTTCTTCACAGCAGGAGGAGTCACACAATCCTTAACAGCCCAGGGAACCACTTCAAATGACTGACATGGAGTTTCAATGTATTCACCTTCTACTTCCAGATACTTGAAAGTGTTTACATGGCTGACAAAGTATTCTTCCTCTCCAAAGACAGTAACAACTTTTCCATTCACCGGATATCTCAACTTTTGATGTAATGTGGAGGTCACCGCACCTGCCCCATGGATCCAGGGACGACCAAGCAGACATGAGTACGAAGGACGAATATCCATCACATAGAATGTAGCAGTAAACAGCTGAGAGCCAACCTTGATTGGAAGATCAATTTCCCCATGTACTACTCTTCTAGAACCATCAAAAGCCTTTACCACAATATTACTGGGCTTCAATACCGTATCTTCAGGACTCAGCTTGTTCAGGACTTCCTTAGGCAACACATTCAGAGAGGAACCATTGTCTATCAGCACATGAGACAGGGTAGTGCCCCTGCATTCAATTGAAATATGCAAGGCCTTGTTATGATCCCTCTTGGCAGGGGTCAAGTCAGCATCAGAAAATCCTAACCCGTTGTCATAGGTCAGGTGCGCAACACAATTCTCAAACTGGTCCACAGAAATTGCACTGGGTACATGAGCCATCTTTAGAAACTTGATCAATGACTTGGCATGAGCCTCAGAACATAATAACAGGGAGAGCATAGAAATCTTTGAGGGAGTATGCCCCAGCTGATCAACAATATCATAATCACTCTCGCGAATGATTTTCAATACTTCTTCCATCTGCTTAGAGAGGTCATCAGCAGCTGGCACATCAGTAGATACAGGCTCAATAACAGGACCCTTGCCCCGAGCATCAGTGGTGGAAGTAACAGCAGGAGTAACTGCACTCTTAGAAGCAACTGGAGGAGAGAAGACTCTTCCACTACGAGTGATCTTGCTAGATCCAGCAATATTATCAATGTCAACAGGCATATCAGGTAAAGGCTCCTGCTTGACACCATGGATGTAAACATCAGACCCATAGTGCCAAGGCACAACTTTGTCAGATGTATAAGGAATAGGACCAGGAGTGGTAATGATCAGAGGAGCTACTCTGGCTTCAGCGACAACTTTCACAGGACCTTCAGCAGTAATCTTGATTGGGCCCTGATGAGTGATTTTAATGGGACCCTTTGAAGTGATTCTTAGTGGTACTTTGTCAACCATGTCAACCTCTTCAATCTTCTTACCCTGAGTCAGATGATCCACCATACTTTCTACAGATGCTGGTCTTCTTTCAAACACTATAGTATATTTATCCATGAGACGTTGAATCCCATCTCTCAAAATGAAGCAACTATCCGGCTTATAGGTACAATATAGACAATCTTCATGACAACCTGGAAAGATCCCAACTTGTACTAACCTCTTTTTGATAACAGACAATGGTGTGCTCAACTCCATAACTGAATAGACATGCAGATCTTCATCAATATCTTCATCAATGGCGTTGACAGTCTTCTCGTGATTTGGCATTGGAGCTGTAATCACATTTGGAGTACCTGGTGGATCAAACTCAATTTCTCCAGCATCAATCATATCCTGAATTTTGTTCTTCAAGACCCAGCAGTTATTAGTATCATGTCCTGGACAGTTTGAATGATATGCACATCGTGCATTGGGATTGTACTTGGGAGAGGTAACATTGGGATTCTGAGGAGCCTCCCTCAGGGTAATAAGTTCAGCCTTCAACAAGTGTTGCAATGCCTGAGCCATTGACATGTTGATCTTCGTGAACTGTCTTCTAGCCCTCTGTTGGTTGCCTTGAGGCTGCTCTGTTGTTGCAGGAGTTGGATTTGAAATATGAACTGCACTAACAGACTGATGCCTTCTGTTACGATCAGGCTGACCATACACAGCATTAGATTCTTTCTTCCCAGTGGGAGGCTTCTTTGCAGCACCTGATGAAGAAGTGCCCACTTGGATCTTACCACTCTTGATACCATTCTCTACTCGCTCTCCTGTCATGATCAACTCAGTGAAGCCAGATGATGAGCTTCCAATGAGATGACTGTAAAACGGACCATTCAGCGTACACATGAACATATCAACCAACTCCCTATCAGTCAAAGGGGGTTGAACTCTTCCAGCTAAGTCTCTCCACTTCTGAGCATACTCCTTAAAGCTTTCTTTGGCACCCATAGACATGCTTTGAAGCTGCATGCGAGTGGGGGCTAAGTCAGCATTGTATTGATACTGCTTGTAGAAAGCTTCAGCAAGGTCATTCCAATCTCTGATGTTGACACTCTCCAACTGATAATACCACTCTAGCTGAGCTCCAGATAAACTCTCTTGAAAGAAATGGATCCACAACTTTTTATCAGCAGTGTGGGGTTGAATTCTTCTGACATAAGACCTCAGATGCAATTTGGGACAAGAGACCCCATCATAAACAACAAATGTAGGAATTTTGAATCCAATGGGTATGACCACCCCAGATACATCTTTTAGAATGTATGTTTAATATTGTTTTTTTAAATGTTTTTCTATAAACATGGTATTACATTGAATAGCCTCTAGAAATCAACTTTTCAATATATATATATATATATATATATATATATATATATATACATATATATATATATATATATATATATATATATATATATATATATATATATATATATATATATATATATATACACCAAATTTTCAATATATATATATATATATATATATCAATTTTTCAATCTGATAATTCTTATTCATTCTTACATTTTTATTTAATTTATCAATTTTTACTATATATGCTACTTTTATATATATATATATATATATATATATATATATATATATATATATATATATATATATATATATATATATATATATATATATATATATATATATATATATATATATATATATATATATATATATATATATATATATATATATATAAAAGTAGCATATATAGTAAAAATTGATAAATTAAATAAGAATGTAAGAATGTATAAGAATCATCATTTAAAAAAAATGTTGAGATTTAATCATGATTTTTATTAAATTATACGTCATCAGGAGGAAAGAGAAATTACAAAGTATTACAACACCAATTCCAACTCCAACCAAATTATATAATCAAAAAACTTTCATTAAACACAAAACATTTACAAAGTATTACAACACCAACTTCAACCAAAATTTATATATATATATATATATATATATATATATATATATATATATATATATATATATATATATATATATATATTATAGTTTCAAAGAATAATTAAAGTTTAACTTATAAGTTATTTATATAAAGATATTATTCTACCTGCCCCAAATTAATTGTCGCATCTTAAAAAATTATTTGTTCAAATATAAATATTATATTTTAATTTTTAATGCAATTTTGATATTTATTTTTCAATCTTGTCTTCTATTTAATACTCTCAATTTATTATTCTCTTATTTTAAATTTATGATAATTCAGATACATCAATAATAAACAAAGAATACTATTCTCTTTTTTATTTATTATATTTTGATAATATCATTTTGCAAATTAACAATGAGAAACAATAACTAAATTTTTGTTTTCAAAAGAAGTCAATTTTTTAACATGGACATAAAAAAAAAATATATTTTCAAACAATAATTAGAAACTAACCTATAAGTTATATGTATAAAGGTATTAATTAGAAGCCCTAACTACACTTGAAAAAGAAAAAGACGTTCATATAAATATATTAAAATGATATGTTTTTAATATATACCATATATAGAATGACTACATCTTAATGCATTATATCTACTTGAATAATTTATTTTATTTAAATTCATTTGAGAGTGAAAATTTATAGTATTTTTATTTTATTAAAATTCATTGGAGATATTAGTTTGGTTGTTATAATTTTAAAATATTAAATTTAAATATACTTGAAAACTTTTGTAAAATAATCAATAATACCACTTTAAATAATAAACATTTCTCTATTTTCTAATTTATTTATTTTTTAAATTGAGTCAAAGAAAATCACTTTTTATATATAAAAAAAGCCAATAGCAATTAACATACAAGTATAAACCAAATCTTAATATTATAGTGGATTAAACAACATATGTAATAACATTGATAATTTATTAAACTAAATTGACAAACGACTCATGATTTAAAGATGAAGCGAGAGATCCAAATCCTCATCATCACTTTCTTTTGCACCATTTTTGATAACTGAAATTGTATTCTTGTCATCTTTAAAAAGAAACAACTCTTTATTTTGAGCCATTGATTTTTTCCAAGCGTCAGTTTCTCGAATATCAAACACATGATGTTTAGCAGAATGAGCAGTATCATTTTCAGAAGAGAAAAACAAATCCAAATCCTTAGATTTAATTGGACGAAATAAAGGAGAATTTGAATGTGATATAGCAACACTTTTCAAACCATGATAGCTATTCAAATCAATCCTTGACCTAGTAGTAGAATCATTGAATAATATGGAGTTATTGTTGTGATTGGAAGCCTCTCCATATGGAGAATTTTGATTGTAATTGTTGAGATTTGTGAAAGGATTTTGTAGTGTTTTGATGTGAGTATTTGGTGATGAATGATTATTGGAGATTTGATTCACACACTCATTAGGATAATTACGTCCATTGTTTTGAGTTCTTTCATTATGCAAAACCCAAATATTATTCACCATGGTTATAAAAAACAATACTCTAAATGAAGTTTAAGAAAACTCACAAAAGATTAATGGGCTATAAGATAGAAATTTCATTCAGTTATAACCCTTATTTATAGTATTGAATTTTTTAAATATATATATATATATATATATATATATATATATATATATATATATATATATATATATATATATATATATATATATATATATATATATATATATATATATATATATATATATATATATATAAAGCAAAGTCATTTGAAAACCATAAGACTATCTAGATACACATCATTAAAGTTGGTCAATGTGATTATATAAAAGCTCTTAATAGTTTAATAAATATGGATATACTCATTGTATAGAAAATAATACAATTATTGTTTGAACAAAATAGTGTATCACTTAATGCCAAAAGTGTTGTAATTAAATTTTTTCTTTGACTCTTCTTTTGGTTCTATTTGACGCCACATATTTTTGAATTTATAATTTATAAGCTATGTGATTATAAAAAATTTGTTTGATAATTGTGTTATACTAACTTATAGCTCTTTTACTAGTTTATGATTTATTTTTCAGATACTATTTTGAATAGTATTTAAATTTATAATTTATTATTTTTTTCTTTTACTTTTATAATTATTATTTTAACTAAAATTCACATTTATAATTTATTTTAATTTAAAATATAATAATTATATATTAAATCAAACAATACCAAATATTTATGTAATTTTATATTTATCAACTAAATGAACCATTAATTTTGCCAAATACTTCAATTAATTTATTAATTATCAGTCATCTATCATCAACTAGAAAACATGACCTGAAAATGTATAAGCTATCCGCTAGCTTATAAACTTAACAAGTACATAATGCTTAATAAGAATAGCTTATCATTAACATGTATTAAGTATATAATGCTTAATAAGTGTAGGTTTTACCATCTTAATCATTGACTTGTATTAAGTTATAAGCTATTAGTTATAAACTTAATAATTAACCATTAGTTATAAACTTAATAAGTATATAATGTTTTTTAAGTTTGAAAACATGACCTGAAAAAGTTCAGGTGATAAAATTTAGAGGTTGATTTATATATACCTCCTCTTGGATATATCTATTTCGAAAAACACTTTTTACATCTATTTCAAATACTTAGAAATCATGATGCATGAGAAAGTTAGTAACACCTTTATGGATTTTAATCTAGCTACTTGAGTATAGGTTTCGTCAAAACTTATTCCATACTGTTGATTGTATCCCTTCGCAACAAGTCTAGTTTTATTTCATAAAATATTGCCATCTTTATTCAGCTTGTTGCAATAGACCCATCAGATATCAATCAATAGATTAACTGAAGATTTGTGAACGAGTTTCCAAACATTGTTTTGTTCAAATTGATTCCTCTTGCATGGAAAAGACCTATGTTTATCGATGATATCTTCATCGATTTCCACTGGCTTAATTTATGAAATAAAAGCCACAAAGTTACATACCTTATAAAGAGATTATCGTGTATGACTCTCTTTGATATATCTCTATTCACGTTTTGTTGGTATCCATTCCATGGAAGAACTAGATTTTCTAGAAAAATGTTTGGGATTTGATCATGATTCGGTTCTTCCTTTGCGATTTGTATTTCATTTTTGTCTTGGCCCAGTTCATAATTTCCCTCCAGATTTATCTTTTCCAAAATACCTGCATTATCAACAACTTCTACTTCTATTAGTTTAAGGTTAAATTCGTCAAAAGTAATATGAACTGATTCTTCAGCTGTCATAGTTCTTTTGTTAAAGACTTTGTAACACCCATACATAATATATGTCTAGAATTTTTATATCATACATGGTTGCAATTTTGGTACTGAAATGCATAAGTTCCTAGTAACACATTGTACATAATACATGCCAAAATAAAACAATTAAAGGTGGCACAATATATATACAAGATGTTCAAAATCCAACTAAAAACTAGATTATTAAAAAATGATCTCAAAACAAGAGTCTTCACAGTGGAAAAGCTATCCAAAAGGTGAGGTAAGTAAGAACAATCAAGTTATCTTGTCCTTACCCTTCGCCGAAATATAACTACCTAAAAAGCAATCAACAACATGGGCTAAGATAATAATCCTAATGGGTTCCCTACCTTAAGAGTTCTCTTGACTCTACAAGGTCCTAATCATCTAGTACTTCAAGTTCCAAAGGAAAAAGGGAGGAGACTTGAATTCACAATACTTGCATTATATGGCAACATGTCGCTTTAGTTCAACAACTCAAACTATCACTGATCAGAAACCTTACCAAGGCATATTTCCCCAACCAACCCTATGTCTAGAGTTATCGACACGGGTCACAGATGCTTGTATATACTTTGACATACGATATAGATTCATATTCAAGGTACTTTCCACATGAATTCTTCACTTCCCATCTCAAGCCTTTTACCCATAGGCTCCATTCGTACACACAGGACTCAAACCTGTTAAAGTAATAGTGCGTACATCCCAAGGGAGCTTTACATAAGCATCTACTCTTGGGACGACACATCTCAAGGGTTGTTTCTAACTACGTGATTGTATTCGACAATCACAAGGTAAACACATTCACCTTAATCTCAAATAACACAAAACTAATACACGTCCCGTATAATACCTCACTTCACCACTAGACAACTACTTGTCAAAGATGCACACCTAGATATCAACTGCACAAGCATTGTCATCTAAATCATTTGTTAAGTCCTAGTCATCTTACTAAGTCATAACATTAATTTCCATTAAGGTTTCGTCACATTCCTTTATATTTTCCAACCATATTGTTATTATTACAATCCTTCGATCAATCATGGTAAGCATGCATATCCAATAATAAATGTAAAACAATCCATGATACAAATAAGAATGTGTGCGAAGCAACCTAACAATTAGCAAAACAAAAGGAATAAAACCTGCCATGCTCGCTGTGCGACAGGAAAGCGAGGTTGCTTGCTTTGAGTTCGCTGTGAAAACTCAGGGCGAATAAGAGGCAGAACCAAAAGGCCTCTATGGTCGTTGTGCGAGCTATAGGTGAGGGGCTCTCCTTTAGTTCACCAAAGGCTCGCAATGCGACGGTAGCAGAGTTGCAGGTCCCTTTTAGCTCGCTATGTGAGCACGTTGAATCCTGGATAGTGGCGAGCAGAATTGCAGTGATAAAAAGGGGTTTACCACAATTTCTACACCAACTCATAGTTTAACTCAAAACCAACTTATTTATCAATAAATCATCATGAAAAACATAACACAATAAGAAATCATGGTACTTCATGGAAATGGAAACAAAAACCTAATCTAATCCATACTTCCAATTCTATCTCACAACCCTAACTTAGAGAGTCTATCTATAACCCGCCTCAAGAATGATGATGAAGAAGTTGGAATGGTGAAGATGAAATGATGATGAATGAAGGATCTTTGGAGAAATCTTCCTCTCTTCTTCCTCTAGGCTTTCTGCCTTTCTATCTTTTCTCCTCTTTCTCTCATTTCCTCTTTATCCTTACTATCTTTTCTTTCTTTCTTCTAATACTCCAATTTTATTGGAGTAAATGGAAAAGAATGGTACATAGAAAATAACATTAGGGTAAAGTTGGTAAGAGTGACACATGATGTAGGAAAAGAATATAGTGGTAAAATGTCTAATATTAGTGTTATAAAAAAGTCTCAATTGTACCAATTAATAAAAGGTCAGAGTTGAATAATATTAATTAAATCAATCCGAGCTCACTAGTTACTCTAATTATACCAACTGATAATTCTAAGAGTACACAGGAACTCATCTAATCTTAAATAATATTATTTATAGCACTATAGAACAAAATAGGGTATTACATCCCCCCTTAAATAAAAATTCATCCTCGAATTTAAAGATTACCTAAAAAAGGTGAGGATAAGCTTCTCGCATCACCAAATTAAGTTCCCAAGTAGCATAACCTAGATGTGTATCGTCCCACTGAACCTTAACAAGAGGAATTTCCTTGTTTCTCAACACTTTAATTTCCCTTTCCACAATACGACTTGGTTAGGTTCAAAAGTCAAATCTTCTTCTATCTCCACTGAGGTGTTCTGCATTTCCTTCCATACAAAGCTTCGTAAGGAGCCATTCCAATACTTATGTGGTAACTATTTTTTTATACGAATTCAATCAATGGCAAGAGCTCTTTCCAATTTCCTCCACTTTCAAGCGCATAAGCCCTCTGCGTATCTTCCAATGTTTGTATCGTCTTTTCTGTTTAACCATCCGCCTGAGGATGATTCGATGTACTTAAGCATAAATTAGATCCCATGGCTTATTGAAAAGCTCTCCAAAATCTTGAAGTGAACTTTGGATCTCTATCGGACACAATACTAGAGGGGACACCATGTAGTCTCACAATTTTCTCGACAAACAACCGTGTAAGATGACTTTCCTTATAAGTAGTCTTCACCGCTAGGATGTGTGCAGACTTTGTCAATCGATCCATAATCACCCATATGGAATAATAAACACCTTGTATATGAGGTAACCCAACCGCAAAATCCATTGAGATGCTAACCCACTTCCACACTGGAATCTACAAGGGTTGCAACAAATCACCCGGTCTTTGGTGCTAAATCTTCACTTGTTGGCACACCACACATTTAGACACATACTCCGCAATATCCCCTTTCATCCCATACCACTAACAATCATCTTTCAAGTCTTGATACATCTTTGAGGAAACGAAATGTATTGTAAAAGCGCCTTTATGAGCTTCCTCCAAAATCTTCCTTTTTAACTCTACATTATCTGGAAAACAAATCCTTTGATTAAAAATAATAACTCCATCCGTGGAAAGAGTGAAACCCAACTGATTCAACATCCCTTGTAATTTCACATCTGACAATTTTCTTTGTTGAATCCCTTCTGGTAGAGTGGAATTTACATTCAAGTTCCCCATTATCACACCATCCGGAGTCCAAACAGATTGAAGATTAAGGTCTCGTAACTTTTCCA